AGTGCAGCATGATTGTGGGACCGCACTCAATGAAGCTACCACAATCACGGGGTACCGAGTCTGATCAACTCGGCGTACCTGCAGTTTTACTTGAGAAACTTCATCGTGGGCCCTGCTTTTTAGCTAGAACAAGACGTCCAGCCTTTGCATCGGATCATCATCGGCAGATGTGCCTTGTCGCTTTGGACTTGTCGATTTGGAGTTGGGGGCCATGCAGGCTTTGAAGTGCTTTGGAACACCGTACTTTTAAACCTGTCCTGGTTTTCTTTGGTTTTTTACTTAGGCCGGCGTGTGGCAACCGCTTTCAAGTCAGTACGCATGTCAATAAGTGCGTGTTTTTGTTGAGGCTTTGAAGACGATTGATTGACGCCTCATGCTTGTAAACGCTGAGTGCATTATCAGCTAGACAGCCTGCAATCCATTCCATACCATTTTTCCCATTCACCTAGGGAACCATTCTGCTATGAGCACCTTTGAACCTAGCTAACTTCAACTACAGCCGGTGGGCCACTCTGTGGAACAGACCTCAACGAAGAGGTGTTCAATCACTGGGACCTTCGCAGTTGCCGGGATCCGCAGGATATTTTTCCTGAGATTCTTCCGCGCAAGATTACTTGGGGCACCTGCGAAGGTGAACCATGTAAGACTCTGATCGTGGTTTGCCTAAATTCGTAAGTTTTGTTTGATGTGAATGAACGCACAGTGTTGAAATCATTCGTGTTATGTCATTTGTCGTTCTCCGTTGCAATGGGCTCTTTGCTGCCAGTCGCTATGCACAGGTCACAGTGCCAACAGTGTGTTGAAGCAACAGTGGAGATCTACCCTGGCAGCTGAGGTTCGCATTGCCAACAAGCGACTCTTGACCAATTCAACACCAGAGGTTTTTTTTAGTGGAGCCCTTCACGGTGATGAAAGGTGCGTGTGCTTGGACTTGCTTGCAAAACGAGTGGTTTGTTTTTTAGCAATTCAATGGAGACGGCTTCTATGGAACATTTTTTCAGTTCTCCCCCTAAGACCGGTGAGAGCCTTGTAATTGATTGCCTTGAAATTGAATGAACATATTGACACATGGTATGATTGGACTATTGAAATCACACTCCGAAAACTACAGATGCTTACAGTCTTACAGTATTTAAATGTTATTTTGTATTTATAAACACATCGCAGCCTGCAGCCTTTCTTTCTTTGCCGTCCTTGCTGACGCGAGGCTTGGTCCCGCCACCGTCACCGAGCTCGCAAGCTTTCTTTGTGAGGAGTATGGGGTTGACACCCAGGCCACCGTTGGCAACCTGGGTACGGGGTTTGAGTTTGCACTACAGTCCCTCTTCCAGCTGCTCACTGGCCTTGCCCCGGTTTTCATCAGGTGCGGCGCTTGGTGGATTTCCGAGCAACGCCTCTTGGCAGTGTGCGAGGAATATAGATGCAAGTGACGTTTGAACTTCACCTTCGCACAGAATGTATCTCTATTCCGGGTACATTTTCATCCACTATTTGCCATACAAGCCAGCCATTCAGCGGCCAAGCAAGACCTTCAAACATCTTCAGCAAAACAGATTGACAAGGCTTCAACGTCCATAATGGGACGAAACCAAGGAGGTACTCTTGCGGAGTGTTATGGAGTGTTTGAGAGTTCGGGTATGGCAAAGCTGAGGTGGATCATGCCCATGACCAATGCCTTTGGCTACGCAGCTCATCGCCGCGAGGAGAACTCGATGGACCCTAATCGGGACTTCCCATATTTGCATACCAGGCCAGGGTCAAAAGCTGAAATGGAAGGACATAAACATTGAAGATAGATGACAATGATGGACATAGAACATAGACTAAGATACCTGAGAATATGCAGATGTTGATGTTTCACCTTGTTTGTCCCCGTGTGATGTCGTGCTCTACCAGGCCAGAGAGATGCATGCAGACTCAGACTGCGCGAGCAGTGAATGCCATTTGGTTGTAAATCATGGGGTGCAGCTTTGATAGAGATAATTGCTTCCTCAATTGAGCGCAATCAAGATTCAGATTGCAATTGCAAGCGATGTTCATTGTAGGTGTTGTTTGGGGCAATGCTATTGTTGGTTGAAGCATGCTGACATATTATGCTTGCTCACTTGTGGTGCTTGTGTATGCTGCGAATTGATTTGATCCACAAAATCCCAGTGTGGCTAATATACTGCCAGCTAAGGAGCTCTTTCGCCGGCATCTCTTCCAGTACCTAGTCTGGCCAGTCTTGGCAATTTTGTCGGTTGTTCGTGGGAGTGCATTGGAGAGAGACCGCCTCTTCTGATATATTCTTACTACAATTCAGAGCAAACCTGAACATACAACACTTTTTGAAAAAGAACTCTGTGAACAGACTTTATATACATTCTCAAGATTAGCGCCGACCGTGTCAGCTCTGCATTCAATCATCAACATTTCTCATGTGACAGATGTGAAAGAGTTAGGCTTTCGTAGGTCCAGACAGTCGAGGTTTCTGTTTTGCAACTCAAGTTCTTGAGGTTCATGATTACCTTCCACGGGGGAATGAGAGCGTTGACCTACGAGTGGGGATCCAGGAGCAGCAAGTCCAACATGTTTCAAATCTTTCCTGTATCTATTGCTCACTAATGCTGCCTTCGGCGATGGCAGGGTTTCTCAAGCTCACAACAGTCAAGCAAGCAATGTCTTCGGCTTATGCAAGGACAACATAGGATATGCAGTTATGCATGTTCCTCCCTTTGATCCCTCATGATCCCTCGTCCATAGCTGCGACTGAAACTGAATGTTCTGCGTATTGAAGTTGATTCCCATGGCAAGCTGAAGATCTTCCAACGCAACTATTGCTGAAGCTCTTGTGCCAGAGGAATCATATGACCATGCCACAGAGAAGATCCACAGAACCGCCTGATGAGACGGCCTTTCGGGAGGCGGCTCATGGCCAGGATTGTTAACTGGAAGATATTGCAAGGATTGTTTTTGGCATGTATGAGAAAGGTCCATTTTCTGCTTGAATTGACTGGTTGTCAAGGGCAAAGTTCCAGTTCCAGTTGGTGTATTCAGCATCATTGGTGTTGTACCGACCACACCAAGCCAATGGAAGTGTGGCAGGTGGGCCAAGCGATCCAGGCTGCGGCAGGAAAGACCCTTCACCGACGATGGTTTTATCCATTGGGGCGGATCAATGATTTGGTACCTTGGAGCGCAGTTAGCTATTTGGCGTCCTTGCTACTAGTAGCGATGCCCTTGTTCCTAGTAGCGATGCCAGGAGCTACGCGCCCTTGCTCCTAGTAGGGATTCCCTTGCTCCTAGTAGCGATGCCAGGA